CGCCTGTAATAATTGCAGAGCCCGATGAACTGTTGGACTTCTTTGACTGTAGTAGGCTGCTTCCAGTTTCTTACAGCTTCTACTATCTTAGAATTAGCCTTTATCCCATCTGCCCCGACGATGTGTCCGAGATATAGGATTTCCTTTTTCACAAACTCGCACTTGGATGGTTTCAATTTTAAACCTGCAGACTTGAAGCGTTTCAGAATTTCTTGCAGTTTCTCCAAATGCTCCTCCATATCTGAGCTGAATAGAATGACGTCATCTAAATAGATTAATATGGTTTTCCACTGCATTCCTCGCAAAAATGAGTTCCATACATCTTTGAAATGTGCTAGAAGCGTTACAAAGACCAAAAGGCATCTTTGTGTAGTCATACAATCCATATTTTGTGATAAATGCTGTCTTCGCTCGATCCTCCTCAGCTAGTTTTAGTTGCCAGTATCCGCTTTGAAGATCCATAGTTGAAAATATAGATGCTGACGATAGGCAATCCAAGCAAGTATCGATGCGAGGTAGTGGATATGCATCCTTGATAGAACAATCATTCAAACGGCGATAATCACAGCACCAGCGAACTGTGCCATCTTTTTTCCGGATTAAGACAATATTTGAAGCCCAACTTGACTTGGATTCTTGAATAGTCCCGTTGTCTATTTGATCCTTTAGATATATTTCTTCCTCCGCCTCGAAACCACGAGGTGTCCTCCTTAAAGGTTGACGAACAGGTGCAGCTGTACCTGTCTCTATTTTGTGTTCAATAACTGAGCAGGATCCTAGCTCCAACATGTTTTTAGCAAAGCTGTCCTGATTTCTGATAATGTCTGCCAATCTATCTCTGTGGTTTTTTTTATCCGTGACGTTTTCATAGCTTCTGTCAAACAATTCCCTGAGAAATTCCGGTACAACTGGAGAATCGGCCTTTCCCTCTGTGTCCGTTTTCCACTCTTTTGGAATGATTGGTGCCTGAGTAGCTGTGTCCTCCAAAATAACTTCCACCTGACGAAGATTTTTAGTTCTTTGTTTAGCTTGTTCCATCATGATAAATCTGTCCCATGGATCTCCATTTTCTTTAAATATTTCTTCAAAACTCTCCACAGGGTGTAACTCGGCTATCATGTGTCTTTTCCTTAATTTGACTGGCGTTGTACTGGTGTTTACAATCCTGATCGGCACTGTGTGCTTGTATGGATCAACCAACGTCCGTGCAACTATGAAAGTTCTTTCGTCTTCAACTGTAGGCTCCACAGCAGAATACCGTGTATCCAATACTTCGGCAATTTGCGCCTCTCCCGCCACTATGATTTCAGACATAGCAGGTATAAGAACTGTCTCCTGTACTACTAATCTTGCTATCTGGTCCTGAGCCCTTCTCACTTCACACTCCATCCATTTCCCATCAATCTCCAATCCACATTTTGGTGTTAACTGTAATGTCAAATGCATCGATGACGTCACAACCCAACAACAAGTCGTCTTTGATAGGAGCAATATATATACTCCAAGGAAATACTTCGTCGCCCAAAATCATCTGTACATCAGCTACGCCGTATGTCGTTAGTTTCTTGCCGGCGTCGGATACAGCTAAACCTACATCGGCATCTCTCACCAACGGTCTCATATCTTCCGGAAGCTGCATAAACTTCTTCTCGCTCATCACAGTGACTTCAGCACATGTGTCCACTACCGCCCTGATAACTTTTCCTTCCACCATCATGGACGCCGTAATCGTGACTGCCCGGGCCCTATCTATGACTACTTCCTTCAATGGTTTTGTTATATTGTCCTCGTCCTCCGATCGCTCCATTTTGGCTGGACAAACATCGATCTCTACTGCCTGGCAGCGACCAGCAGTATCACATGAAGTCTCATCAAACAGCTCCCTCAAATACTCTCCGTTGTCAGACTCTAATTCCACTGATGTGTCAGTCTCCTTAACAACATGGACCTCGCATCTGTCTGTCTTTTCTGTTATATCTGTACGAACTGTGTCTTGGCCGACAGGCACAGTCCTAAATAGTTTAAATTCTTTGTCACTCCATTGTTAAGTTCTGTCTGCGTCGTATTGTTCGCTCTGTGTCCTTTGTTGCCTTCATTTAGATCTGGACATTCACTTCGATAGAGACCTTTATTATGGCATTGGTAGCATTCCACATCTTGGTGATTCCGGGCAAAATTACCCTTCTTGTAGCCATTTGACTTTGACCTGTCTAGGTTACGTATTGCTTCCTTGATTTCCTTCGAAATGCTTTCCTTAAGGTCTTTCATCATATCCCTGCCAAACTGCTGTAACCGTTCTTCAGTCACGTAATTATAACGTCCTTGACTGGTTCGCCGTACTTCATGATCATCATGGTCTTTCTCGATTACCGTGACCTCTCGCACGTTGTTCTTAACTTGCTTCACACTGTTCTTGCAGGTATAATGCCATGTCAGGAGATTGATAGCTTCTTCCACTGTCTGTGGTCTTTTAGTCAGGACATCGTATGCTATACTCTGGTCTTGTATACTATTTAGCATATGCTCCACACATAGGTCATTGTAGAGTATATGGTTGATGCCCGGATAGGCCTTTCGAACCATTTGTTCCACTCTAGAAGAAAAGGTTTGCATGGATTCTTCACTTGATTTCTTAACGTTTGTCAACTTCCGTCTGTATGTCTCTGGTAATGAGATATCCCTAAACCGCCGTTGCATGTCTGTACATAACTGATAGTAGTCCAGTCTGCTGTGAATTGGCAGTCTAGTCGCAAAGGATAAGGCGTCCTCTCTCAGACAAAAAAAAAACATCTCCTCACACTGTCTCGCCTCGTCCCAGCAAGATCTACCAGCAATCATGTTGAAAGTTGTTATGAACGCCAGTCTCCACGTCCGTTGAATGTAGGTAATCTAGTATCAGGTTATCTACCCGTCCGACTTGATGAGTAAGAAAGTGATCCCGAATACGGCATACAATTCTGATTGTAACCAGATCTTGCGTTGTGGTAGGGTTCTGTAGAAATATGGTCGTTGTTTCTGCGCCGGAACTCCACTTCCTCTCCATAGTTGTGCTGTCTGCGATGATTTCCATTGTTTCCATTACGGAACTCTGAGAAATCGTTTTGTTGGCACTGTGAGGTATTTCCATTACGGAACTTATCCCTGTTTCCATTACGGAACTATGAGTAGTTTGCGGAGTGACACTGTGAACTATTTCCATTACGGAACATGTCTCTGTTTCCATTACGGAACTCGTGAGATTGTCCAACAGTGACATCGCATTGGTTTCCTCTATATAAATCGTGGGACGCCCGATTGTCATACATGTTGGAAGAACTATCTCGGTTTCCATTACGGAACTCCTGAGATATAGTTGTGCTTTGGGGGTTTTGAAACAGATTTGTAGAAGCTCCCTGGGTTGTGTGGACTGGAACTGTACTGCTACATAAATCTTGTTGGACTCCATATCTCATAGGAGGTAAGGTTGCACTATCACGGACATCGTTCTCTGTATGTCTGTAAGAAGGTTGTCCTGCTTGGTTTCCAAGGTTATCGCCTAAGGTCATAGAATCCTGATTTGCTTTATCGACATCCTGTGGACTATAACTGTTATCTTCTCCAAAACGTGGTGCTGGTCTGCACCTATCCAGTGATTTATCCAATTGACATTGTGGAATGTTCACTCCCATGACGCTTGGCATTGGCGACCCAACACGGCTATTTTGAGAATCGATATGTTCACTGCCCACAATTTTCCCCCTTACAAAATTCGGCGAAGTCAATTTTCTACCCCTTAAATCCATCCTTTACTAAAGTCTATTACTATTAAAACTCTGGTACCTCAAAAATTTCACCAAAACAATAAAAATATAGACGTTACCAAATATTCAAATTTTTGAGGTACCAGAGTTTTAATAGTAATAGATTTTAGTAAAGGATGGATATATGAAATAGCTCTACGTTTTAAACAATTACTTTTATCCTGATAAGCATTTGACCTCTTCTATCGAGAGATAGATGTGACATTATATCTGATTGTTCCCATAACATCATTTCTATTCACGTGCTATCTGTCATACCCTAGGGTGACACAGGAACCCTGAACAGGTAAACAAGAGACAACTCTGTGAAAGGATGGAGACAAGGTTCTAAGTTATTACTATGCACTTCATGACCTTTATATATATACATTTACGTTATTGATGTTTGTTCTGTATATGAATCTAACAGCAACTGCCATTAGACTATGAACTTTATTTAGTTTAAAAAAAATATGAAACAAGTTATATTACTCATAGTAATCACTCTTGTTGGCCCTGATGTTAGCGCACAACTGTGGGAAAAAACCGGAGTACCCTGAGAAAACCCACGTGATCAGGCAGGTGACCTCATACTGTATTAATGTCTGATTAGCATTAATCTTCAGAGCTCAACACAAACCCCGTCAGTGAGTTCGCCATGTTTATTCGGGTCTCCCGCCCGGATGTAGAGCACGTGTGTACTACATGTTACATACATATAAATCAACATACGGAGTAAGGGAGGTAACTCCAAGATACTGATGCATCTCCCTTCTTTGAGTAAACCAAATGTTTACCACTATTATATAATTAGTAATAGGAATTATAAATTCATGAAAATCAAGTAATTGAATTAGTGACTATTTGATCACATGCAAAGATAATTCTGCAAATAAATGAAATCATAATAATTAATTAAAGTTCATGGTAATTAAGATTTAATTGCTTAAATCTGGAGTTCACTGTCCATGGAATGTTTTTGTTGTACTATTAATTTGTGATTTCTGGAGATCACTGTACACAGAATGTAAGCGAAAATGTCACACGATCACTGTCCATGGAATATAAACACAAATCATATCATTGCAGTTAAATGTCTGAAGATCACTGTCCATAAAATTTGAACACAAATTTTAACACTAATGTCTGCAATCCTGTTCATAAATGTAAACACAAATAACCATTAATGCCCGCAATCATTGATTAATTAATTATATGGAATCACATTGATACAATGACTTTAGGTTTGCAAACCCTGCCAGATCTGGACATATAGGGCTGTACTGTGGGAACAGTTTCAGGCTGTTTTGGGTGTGAGATGGGGTTTTGGGATACTTTGGGGGTAAGTGTGCTAGATAACTGAGTGTTGCCATTGTATGTTACTTGGGGTTCGATTACAGATGGCATAGGTAGATCCAAATCTACTGAAGGACGGGGATTGGACCTTTTTAAGAGATGACGCCTATTTCGACGATACATCTTACCTGCTGATTCAACAAGGAAGGATCTGTCAGCTTCTTGGCTTAAGATTGTAGCTGGCTTCCAGGTCTTATCTGACTGTTGAACATGAACTTTTTGACCTACCTTTATGCGGGGAAGTTCCTTGGAACCTTTATCGAACTGCTTCTTTTCCTCTTTTCGTTTGGCTTCTAATTTGACCTTGACCTCTGCATGGTTTATAACCTTGGGAATAAGTTCCTGGGACAAAGTTGGTAATACTGAGCGGAGTTGTCTCCCTTGGAGGAGCTGAGCAGGGGAGTAACCTGTATCTAAAGGGGTCGTGCGGTATTCTAGCATACCTAAGTAGGGGTCACGGCCATCGTCTTTAGCCTTTATGAGTAATCTCTTAGCAATTTGGACATACTTTTCTGCTAGGCCATTGGATTGTGGATAGCGGGGGCTGGAGGTGACATGTAAGAAATCATACTGTCTGGAAAAGTCTGCAAATTCTTGTGAGGAATACTGTGGGCCGTTGTCCGAGACAACTTTTTCGGGTATTCCGAATCTGGTGAATATGGGTTTGAGTGCATTGATAACAGCTTTGGATGTGGTGCTGTGTAGTTGGGTTACCTCAAAATAACAGCTATAGTAGTCTACTACAACAATGTAGTCCTTGCCGTCAGATTCAAATAGGTCTGTGGCTAATACTTGCCAAGGGTATAGTGGAATAGGGTGTGGTGCGAGGGGCTCTTTGGCGTTTGAATAACTGTGCTTTATGCACACTGGGCACTCTGATACAAGTTCGGTCACATCAGCATTTAACTTGGGCCAGAACACGGAGCACCGTGCTCTTTTAAGGCATTTTTCTATGCCCATGTGTCCTGTGTGTAAGGCATTGAGTATTTCGGGCCTAAGGGATTTGGGTATGAGAACCTTCGTACCCTTGAGTATTAGACCATCTACATAGGACAATTCGTCTCTGTGGTTCCAGAACTCTAGGATGGAAGGGGGGCAATCCCTCCTTAACCCTGGCCACCCATTGAGTATAGTGTTTATGAGTGTTTGGAACTGTGTATCGACGTTTGTGCTATCTCGCACCTTTTCTAGCTTTCTATCACTGATAGGGATAGAGGGGAGTATGGTATGGACATGTGCGTCCATACCTTTTGAGAGACTTGGGTATGTGTCAGAAAGGAAGTTGCGTGACAATGTGTCGGCAACGGGTATCTGTTTGCCGGGTACATACACTAAGTCTAGGTCGTACTTCTGCACTCTGAGGAGCATGCGCTGTAGACGTGGGGGAGCTGCATGTAATGACTTTTGACTGATAGGAATCAGGGGCTTGTGGTCAGTTTCGACTTTGACCTTGCGCCCATACAGGTATTGATGGAATTTATTACACCCGAAAACGATTCCGTACATTTCCTTTTCGATCTGGGCGTAATTGATTTCACTGGGGGTTAGTGACTTCGAGGCGTAGGCGACGGGTTTACCCTCTTGCATTAGAGTGGCACCCAGGCCAAATTTAGATGCGTCAGTTTGGAGTATCACTTCCTTGTTCGGATCAAAATATGCAAGAACTGGACTTGCAGTTATTATGTCTTTGACCCGGCGGAAAGCGTCAGCTTGGGGTTTGTCCCAGTGGAATTCTATGTTTTGTGTAAGAAGTACGCGTAGTGGGCTTGTCAATTCAGACAAGTTCGGTGCAAACTTGGATAGATATGTGACCATCCCTAAGAACGTTTCTAACTCGCTCTTGTTAGTCGGGGGTTTCATGAGCTGTACTGCTCTTACTTTGTCTTCGTCGGGTTTGAGCCCGTCCGCGGTGAGTGTATGGCCAAAATATTTGACACAAGTGAGACCAACCTCAAGTTTGTCTTTATTTAGCTTGATTCCCCGTTCACGCGACCTTAAAAGTGCTTCGCGTAGGTTTTTATCATGCTCGGAGCGCGTTTTCCCGTATACAAGTACATCGTCAACTAGGGCAACGGCGCCCTCGAGGCCTTCGTAGCATTCGTCCATTTTTTGTTGAAATTCATCTTGAGATGACTTCAGCCCGAAGGGGAGGCGGAGGTACCTATACCTGCCGAAGGGGGTATTAAATGTTGTGAGGGGGGACGATTCCTCATCTAATTTTATGTTCCAATACCCACTTTTAGCATCTAATTTGCTGAAATACTTGGCGCACGAGATTTCAAGTAGGACATCTTCTAGGGTTTTGGTTGGGTAGTGGGGCCTTAATATTGCCTTATTTAGGTCTTTGGGGTCTATACAAACTCTGAGCTTCCCAGACTCAGGGTTTTTTACTACAACAAGGGAGCTAACCCACTCTGTTGGGTCTATGACCTTAGTGATTATTTCTAGGCTTTCCATTCTAGCTAGTTCCTCTTTTAACCCTTCTCTCAAGGATAAAGGGACTCTACGTGGGGGGTGTACTACAGGGGGAACACTGGGGTCTGTTTTGATGTGACATTCACCCTTAAGTAGGCCTATACCTTCAAAAACATCTTTGTATTCAGATAGAACTGTGTCTTTGTTTAGGGGTTGCGAGTCACTTACCTTTGACACGGGACTGTCAACACTGCATGTGTATACCAGCTTTATGAGGCCCAAATCGAGACATGGTCTCATACCAAGTATTGGTGTTGATTGAGTTTTGACTACATGGAAGTGAAGTTCCACTGACTTACCTTTATGCTGACATGTCAGCTGACAGCTGCCCAAGGTATCTAAGGTGTGACCACTGTAAGCAGATAACTTCTCACTTGAAGGTTGGAGTTTACCCTGGTTCCCTAATGTTTCAAACAAAGAGTTAGGCAAAATGTTGGCTTGTGAGCCTGTCTCAAGTTTAAACCTAACAGGGACTTTTTGGGGTCCTACATGAAGGGTATAGAAAGCTTGGTTAGCATTTCTGGGAGTTTGAATAGAATCAATGAAAAATTCATCATTTGAATCTGAACTATCTGGCAGAGCTTCCACATCATGGACCTTAGCACCCTTAAAGAAACATTTTTTTGAGAAATGATTGTATTTGTTACATGACTGGCATTGTTTGCCTTTTGCTGGACATATTGCAAGTTTATTGTGTTGGAACCCGCATCGTCCGCACTCAGATTGTCCTGATTTCCGCGCACTGCCACTAGAATGTCTCTTCATGTCACCGTTCATGTGTCCATGTGCTTGCTGTCTGCTCCCAGGATAGCTTGGTTTGTGCCCATTGGAATGCCTGCCCGCCCGGTGTTCGTTGGTTCGACGTTGATGCCCGCTCGGAGCACCTCTTTTCACACTGTGTACTTCTTGCTGTGTCATGCTTTTTAATTGTTGCTGTGAATATTCGTACGACTGCGCTACTTGGATCGCTTTGTCCAGGGTAAGTTTTTCTCCTTCGTTTATTAGTTTTTCACGCACCTTGTCAGATGAGGTGCCAAACACGATTCTATCACGAATCATCTCGTCGCAGCTTGCATACGCACAGTCTCGAGCTAGAACTCTCAGTTTTGTCACGAACTGTTCTATCGTTCCTGCGCCCTGGACTTCATTATTGAATTTGTACCGTGCAAAAATTGGATTTAACTTCGGTTGCACATACGCTTGGTAGCGATCGTAGAGAGTTTGCAGTTTTTTACGTGCTTCTGCATTTTCTTCCGTATCTAGGTCAGTCCAAGTGTTTCTAATTTCACGTCCCTTATCTCCGATCCACAGGAGAAGGTAGTTTACTTTAATTTCCTCTGCTTTGTCAGCGAGGGGCCCGTCAAAGATCAATCGCACGTGGCTTTGAAATTTTCGCCACTGCTCTGGTAGGTTTGATGCTTCCCAGTCAATTTTGGGAGTCGGTATTCCTGACAAGTCCATTTTCACTCAAGTCTGCGAAGTAATGAACCTTTTGGCGAGGGTTTTGTAGTCTGACACCATGTATTAATGTCTGATTAGCATTAATCTTCAGAGCTCAACACAAACACCGTCAGTGAGTTCGCCATGTTTATTCGGGTCTCCCGCCCGGATGTAGAGCACGTGTGTACTACATGTTACATACATATAAATCAACATACGGAGTAAGGAAGGTAACTCCAAGATACTGATGCACATACCTTTTCACGTCCGATCGGGGAATCGAACCCCGGCCGCCTTAGTGAAAGACGAGTGCGCTATCCACTGCACCACCCTATCACTCTTAACCCTTTTGGGGTCAGGCCCTCTCTTTGTAAATGTATACATTTTCCATATAAGGATGCTTCAAACCAAATGTTACGGGTTGATTTACATCTTATAGTTTTAGAGAAGAATTCCACTTAAAGCAAAATTGCCCCTTTTTGGCCACGCCCCTATTATTATCAGTGCTATTTCCTTAATTAGTTTATAATTTCTTTAATGCACATGCACGTTCATGTGATTTAAGCAATCGATACACTTCTAGTTCAGACTTATAACCACACATTTGAAGATTTCTCCGCGCACCCTTTATATCAATTCTTGTTTTGCATCAATGTATATATTCATATTTATAGTGGCAATTAAGAGGTCGACTAGTCAATGCTAAATATATATAGCACGCCTTGTGTTTCCACAAGAATTAAATTCCATTTTATTCAATCTGAAAAAAGGAGATTTCACATTAATTTTGTATATATAAGTCATTGATTTTTTTTATGTTGCTAGATCATCATAATCACGGAATTAGATTATCTAAGTCCGTGTCTTAATAAAATATTTTAGAACTTTGATTTCGTACTGCAATAAGATTTTCAACACTTTTTACCAAAAAAATGATAAATAAATATTAGTCAGAGTTGATTGTGTATTCTGTATCCACTGACACTGTATTTTTTTCGTCTAACTGCAGATCGCCTGCTTGTTATCGAACAATACATAAATAAATTTGGTAAACCATAATACACGAGCTACCTCCCATATTGAACTAACACAGTTTTCAGTCCAGCAGCTAAATCATTGATGCAAACACAGTGCTGATATTCGATATATGGATTGCTTAAATCTTAAATTTCTTTTTTTTTAAACGCAGTGTTAATGTAAAGTGTATCACTTGTCTCTGGGAATCATATATTCTTAATATGCCTCTGTCTGTTAACTAGCTGTTCCGGACTTAAAAAATATCTCGGGCTATAATTAGTTTCTCTGCGTAAGTTGATATAGAGTTAACTCCCCTTACACATTATCACTTCCTTGTTTGGGTTGTTGTCAGTATCAATCTCTCACTATCATCAGTTCCTCGCCTCTAAAATCCAGGATCTATCGTCAGTCACACTAAATTGTATGTTTTCTACCTCTTTTTCACAGGGATATGTGCCTGCTGGTTTGGGGAAATATCACCAACAAGGATTTTGGGAAAATAGGAAAATAAAGTGATTTTTTGCTTAAACGGGAAAACACCAGAAAATGCCCGAAATCATGTTCACACTACAAGTCGTTTCACCCTAAATCATGTTCACACTACAAGTCGTTTCACCCTAAATCATGTTCACACTACAAGTCATTTCACCCTAAATCATGTTCACTACAAGTTGTTTAGCCCTAAATCATGTTCCCACTAATATAACGTTACAGTTTCACCCTAAACCAATTTGCTCAAGGTTGTAACTTGTTTCGTTCAAATATGAATATAATTTTTGAAGTTATAAATATCACTTTAAAGGTTTTCGATTTTTTAAAACCTTATTGTTTTCATATATTGTGTTGTCAGATGAATTTCAGTTGTATACTATGTGCAGTTCTCGTCCTAATGAATCAAATGAATCTAATGACAAAAACGACTAAGGAAGACTTAGGAAAACTGCCAATGAGTCTGTATTGGTGATACATATAATATCTAGACTTACAGGCAGTAAACATATTATTAGCCCATATGACTTAGAACGAACAGGATTTAGGGCAATATGACCTGACACCGATACAATATATAGTCCTTCTTTTGAGTAACAGTTACTAATGTATACATAATTTTACTACTAAAATGGGGAATAAAGGGCATGAAAACAGAATAAAAACCTTTTAAACCATCTTCGCTAGCCAAGGGTTACTTTCAGCAGGGACAGTATATAGAGACTCCATTATACGTCCCTGCTTTCAGTTAGTAGACATGACCGTTCCAGATCGTAGCCTTTGGCTAGCAAAGATGCTTTGGAACATCAGGGTAAAAAATCAAATACCAGTAAATTGGATTTAAAATAATACTCCTTAAAAATTTCTTACACTTGCAATACTGCATAGATAATATTTTGATATCATTTTGTTTCTGTTTTGTAGATTTTTTGGTACTCCACTGGTCGCTGTCGACATTATGAAGAAACGATTGAGGCGCCCATTAATGCTGACACTGCTAGTGTTTTACATAGGACTGGTGCTGTTTTCTCTGTTCAACTACCGTAGTCACTGTACCTACACAAATCCAGAGTCTCTAGTTCGGACACACATCCTCAGCCCTCTCAAGGCCGCACATATCTGTCCGATAAACTTTGACAACCTGGGTAAGATGGTTAGGTTGCATTGAGGAGCATGTGAGGGCATGGTTTTCATGTCCCAAGCCACATTTATTAGTGAAAGGACATAAACTGTTTACCTTCCCTCTCTGTACAATGAGGCTATAATTAGGGAATTGTAATTGACTTCCAATCAGCTTTTTCATTTCGTTGTTAAATAAGATGTGATTAATATTTGGTATCCAAATTAGGAACAGTGGTAATCATATTTACACGAAAAAATGTATAAATTGATTATCAATCAATCTAATACACTGTTTAGAAAATTGGAATTTGGTTTGAATTTTAATTTTAAAGTTTAGGAATCAATGTTGTTTAGGCAGAGAGTGTGCCCCAAAATCTGTGCCTTTTGTATGGCACCAAACTTTGATCTAGTGCACCTTAGATCCAATGGAATTCAATATAAATTGTATAAACATAGAACTTCAGGATTCCTGTACCACTGACAAAACTTGTAAGCATGCAGCGGACACTTTGTTTACTGAGAGCCTTTAGATTTGATAAAAAGTTTTTGAAAGAAAAACATACTTTGGGGAATGCCTTTGAAAAACTGGTAAATAAACAACATAAAGCAACATCTTTAACTGATTCACTTATAAACTTAGTTAAGTTATAATGAAACGTTTTATTTGTTTCCTAATTGCTCCAGTCATATATTATGAAATATTTTTACTTGATTCCAGATGTGGTTAAATTGGATATTTTCTCTGAACCATCATTTGAACTCATAAAGCAGAGAAATCCCCATGTTTTGCCGGGTGGACAGTGGAAGCCTGAAGGATGCACATCATTCCAGAAGGTTGCTATCATAATCCCATACAGGAACCGCCTCCATCATCTCAAGATCATGCTGAACAGGATACACCCGTTACTGTGGAAACAAAACATTGACTACCAAGTGTTCTTAGTAGAGCAGGTTTGTATGAAGAAGGATTAATAGATCTATCACTGGCATATGTGATGTTGGCAGAGTAATCTCAATCCAGGGATAAGACCTTTGAAGCTTCTGGCATTGCTGATTCTATTTTAAGCACCAAGTCCAATGTTAACCATGGAAACACTGGGTAAAACGTTTCAAGAATCCTCTTCTTAGTTAAGTTAGCCCAAGGATCCCAATATTTGGTCAACATGTATCTTGGATAAAGCATTATGATTAGTTAAAATGACCTTGACCTTCTTTCAAGGTCATCGGGCCATATGTGTTAAAACCTTCAAGCAGAATTTTCTACAGAACTAAAAGGTCTAAAGTAATGATATGTTTGATGTGACCACTCGTGTGGGGTTTTTGTTTTAAGTATATTGTGTTTAGGTCAACAGTATAACTCAGACTGCTGGCCAGGGTCAAAGTTTTCTTCTCTTTTAGTTCCACAGTATCCAATGTCATGATTTGTTGACCAGTAAAGCAAAGCTTTTCTTTGTCCTTGGGTCATACATTTGAAATGGTTGGTATTTCCATGTAATAACCATATACTTGCAAAAAGAAAACAACACAAGTATGGTTGTAGGGTTAGCCCTTAGTGTCTGGTCCTTAACCATACACACAAACACACAGATCTCAACCAGACTTGCTCCATCCTTTGGTCCAGGGATGGAGAAATAGTTGCAATACTACTTTTGATGAGAATATTTTGCCATGATTACATCACTATCTAGGTGAGCACTATGTATACTGGGCCTACTGTTAGAAATGATTTTACTTTTTAAACCAAATTGATATAAAGTTTGTAAGCTTTATTTTAATGATACTGATTTGATGTACAGGCCGGAAATGACAGATTTAACAGAGGAAAGCTGATGAATGTTGGATTCACTGAGGCAATGAAGATTGGCCAATTTGATTGCTTTGTTTTCCATGATGTGGATCTTCTCCCGGAAAACGACAAAAATCTTTACATGTGTGATGACCACCTGCGTCAGCTGTCGTCTGCTATCGATGAAACTAGATATCAGTGAGTTTTACTCCAAATAAGAATTGTATGTGTTTGTACTGTGAGTGATTATTCATTTACTTTTTTCATTGTCGGCTAAATGACATTTAAGAAATATTCATTGTATAACTTTATCGTATATACTACATGTACCGATAATAAAATTTAAGTGACTATATATGTATTTATATGCGAAAATATATGATAGAGTTGTCTTTCCCTACCACAGTGTGATGTACTTTAACTATGCTGGCGGTGTTATTGCTATGAAGGCTGACAGCTTCCTTAAAATCAATGGCTACCCGAACTCCTACTGGGGCTGGGGCAACGAGGATGATGACATCTCGGCACGGTAAGTCATATTTTATCCGCATAATTTTGTTGCTTGAAATTTAATCTACTTGAAATTAACAGATTACCATGTAAATGGAAATTATATTTAATTTGAGTTTATACACAACATGAATGCAATGCCCTTCCATCATGTCTTACTTAATATAAGGTTCTATAAACGTGGGTCTGGGAGTAGGGGACATGTATATGTACTGTATGAGATATGGGGCAAAGAAGTAATTCCAACAGTGTGGACAAGTCTAGGTTGTCAAATTTTCGGAGCGATCCGCTCCTTTTTCAAGACACAGTGAAACAGAACAGTTACATGTACATATACATCATATTACAAGAAGATAGAATTGATATACTATAATTGAAAATATAGCTATTATATAAAACCAATAGTCCCCTCGCCTAAAGACAGCTGAAGGCAGCAATTAAGCTTAGAGCATCGCGGACAAGGAACGCTGATGTAGAGGACCTATTCTTGCGCAAGACGCACTGTCATATAAAGTGAGTCAATGAGAGATATCAAAAACGTTGAACATGTGCATTTGGAAATCTGGCCCGGTAAATGTGAAAAATCTCCAATCTGCTACGGAATGTCTCATTAGTCGCCTCTCAATACTGCGATAGATCTAAGTCACAGCAGGGGGTCCCACTTAGTCGCCTCTTTTGGTTTGCAGGAATAATGCATGTGCCTCTATTGGTTTGCACGAATTATGCATGTAATTATTAAATAAGTGAGTGCAGGAGGAATAAGTAGATAAAATGGCTAAGATACTGTATAAATCTGCAAAAAATCTGACAACGGCTGTTGGTCACACACACTGACATGAAGCAGCAGGCAGGCGAGAAAGCAGACCAACTGTGCAGTAATGAATCATTAGGTCAAATGCCCCCTGGAAGGAAAACGAGCGGATGGCAACAGCCTATCGTTCGTTCATACCTCGAGGGTAGCGGGTTTGTAGATTGGTGGTCCAAAACCGTTCTCTCGTACGTCGTCTCGTTTCATCCCATGTAGGGCAATGATCTATGGCAACAACCTGCATGTCTTTCCAACTATGGCTAGGCATATTAAAATGCCTTGCCACAGGGAAGTCTGGTTTGTTCTGCTTGATGGAGCAGCGGTGGTTGTTGATCCTGACATTGAGCTGGGTGCAGGTCTCGCCCACGTACTGTAACTTGCATTTATTGCAGGTAATAAGGTACACCACATTGACTGATGTGCATGTCAGCGTTTGTAGTATGTGATACACTTTGCCGTTGATTGTAGCCGAGGGGACTATTGGTTTTATATAATAGCTATATTTTCAATTATAGTATATCAATTCTATCTTTTTGTAATATGATGTATATGTACATGTAACTGTTCTGTTTCACTGTGTCATGAAAAAGGAGCGGATCGCTCCGAAAATTTGACAACATAAACTTGTCCACACTGTTGGAATTACTTCTTTGCCCCATATAATATTTAAGTAATTCGTATCCTACGGACTAGTCCGAATTATTCTGACGTTTTATCAACTTTTTTCATATCGGTCTATCGTCGATTAACGTCAGAACTCCGGCCCTCTATAATATGCAGGAAATATGCGACCCGCACCCGGAGCGCACTTTAAACTGATATTTTAGAAACAAATCGTCACTTTCACACACATGTCGCACATGGATCGAAAGATCTATTCTTTATGCACTAGGTGGTATCAATAATATGTTTCAAAGATCATTACGAAAAGCATTTTCCAACGTTTTCTATACCAACCCATGTTTTTTATGGAAATTAGGCCATGAGAAATGTCACATGACTTGGCGAGATCTCGCGTTACCGAATGTATTTCCCAACGTTATGATGTAGGCCGGAGAGATTTTAGTCACGTGGCATTGGAAGGCGGGGCTATAAACAGAGTAAATTTGAAAAAATATGTTTTTAGTGATTGTATTAGTTGTTTGAGGCATGTTATGTATGTTCATCATGTTCATAAAGAATAGATCTTTCGATCCATGTGCGACATGTGTGTGAAAGTGACGATTTGTTTCTAAAATATCAGTTTGAAGTGCGCTCCGGACGCGGGTCGCATATTTCCCGCATATTATAGAGGGCCGGAGTTCTGACGTTAATTGACGACAGACCGATATGAAAAAAGTTGATAAAACGTCAGAATAATTCGGACTACCTACGGACATACCTCCATTACGATCCAGTGTTATATGGGATTTTACCGTCTATATTACTTCTTTGACCCATACTGTATGAGATATATATATATGTGTGTTACTATATTTAAGTAGCCTATACATGTGACTGAAATTGACCAATGAGAAGCATGTATGAGCATTAGAAAAAATGTGTTAAAGGAGGCAGCAGACAGGAAGTTTTTCAGAAAGTTTGGCACCTTATAAGTTTTACCCTCCCACCATCCCCATGTCATCGCCTTACAGTATTTTCGTTTTGTTTGAATGCTTCTGACAACTTCTGTTAGAAGTTGATTTTTTCTTATTATTTTGTTTCCTTTATGGGAGTTAATTTGTTTAGCGCTATATATTGACCATGAGTCTACCATGCTATATATTGACCATGAGTCTACCATGCTATATATTGACCAGGAGTCTACCATGCTATATATTGACCAGGAGTCTACCAATAACATCCCCTGGGATATAACTGAAGCATGATCAGGTTCTACAATAACATTTCTTGGATATAACCGTAGCAGGATCAGGTTCTACAATAACATCCCTGGGGTATAACTGAAGCATGATCAGGTTCTACAATAACATCCCCTGGGATATAACTGTACCAGGATCAGGTTCTACAATAGCATCCCCTGGGATATAACTGTAGCAGGATCAGGTTCTACAATGACATCCCCTGGGATATAACTGTAGCAGGATCAGGTTCTACAATAACATCCCCTGGGGTATAACTGTAGCAGGATCAGGTTCTACAATAACATCCCCTGGGGTATAACTGAAGCATGATCAGGTTCTACAATGACATCCCCTGGGGTATAACTAGCTTGATCAGGTTCTACAATAACATCCCCTGGGATATACCTGTAGCATGATCAGATTCTACAATAACATCCACTGGGGTATAACTGTAGCAGGATCAGGTTCGTTCTACAATAACATCCCCTGGGGTATAACTGTAGCAGGATCAGGTTCTACAATGACATCCCCTGGGATATAACTGTAGCAGGATCAGGTTCTACAATGACATTTCCTGGGATATAACTGTAGCAGGATCAGGTTCTACAATAACATCCCCTGGGATATAACTGTAGCATGATCAGGTTCTACAATAACATCCCCTGTGTTATAACTGTAGCAGGATCAGGTTCCAAAATAACATCCCCTGGGATATAACTGTAGCAGGATCGGGTTCTACAATAACATCCCCTGGCATATAACTGTAGCAGGATCAGTTTCTACAATACCATCCCCTGGGATATAACTGTAGCATGATCAGGTTCAACAATAACATCCCCTGTGTTATAACTGTGGCAGGATCAGGTTCCAAAATAACATCCCCTGGGATATAACTGTAGCGTGACCAGGTTCTACACTAACATCCCCTGGGATATAACTGTAGTATGATCAGGTTCTACAATAACATCCCCTTGGATATAACTGTAGCAGGATCAGGTTCTACAATAACATCCCCTGGGGTATAACTGTAGCATGACCAGGTTCTACACTAACATCCCCTGGGATATAACTGTAGCAGGATCAGGTTCTACAATAGCATCCCCTGGGATATAACTGTAGCAGGATCAGGTTCTACAATAACATCACCTGGGATATAACTATCAGGATCAGGTTCTACAATAACATCCCCTGGGATATAACTGTAGCAGGATCAGGTTCTACTTTTGACCAGGTGGCTCAGTTGGTTAGAAAAAGCTCTGCAAGTTTATAGTTACCATTGTTTAGCAGTGGTACAGACCTCTTTATGTATTATCAGTTTTTATGTACTGTTTTCTGTTATTTAGAACACAGGAAGCAGGACTTTTGATCACTCGGCCACCAGAACACATCGGGATGTTCAAGATGGTGCGCCATGTTAAAGAAACAAGATCTGAAAATGGGTATGTAAAGGGTTTACTAACAATAATTCCAGATAATCGTTTTATCCCTATAATTTCTTCGTTGCACACGACTGATAATAGCTAAATCTCAATTTTCATAAGAAAGAAAAAACAGGCTGATAGTCACTTTAAATATAATCATAAACATAATGGGCTTGAGAATGGATAAATGATGATTTTTTTTTATTTCAAAGGGAAGTTTTTAAGTTCTATTATTTTAGTATCATATTTATTTGAAACCCCACTGAGATATTTAGTGCAAAATCTTCTTTTGATTTGTTAAACATTTGTGTATAAAAATGTGAGGATACTACAGCTAACTGCAGTCAGAGGATATGCCTAAGGATTGAAATCTGAAAGAGCAAAATGATCTTGGGGGAGGGGAGGAACACTGGTTTAGATTATATTGAAATCATGATTGAGCTGATTTTTTCTAACAGGTATGATGCGTTTCTTGGGTGGCAAGGAAGATGGATGCACGATGGCTTAAACTCGCAAAACACAATGAATTACACTGTAAAACAGCTCGTACACCTACCTCTGTACACCAACATCACTGTAGACATCGGCCCCTCTGAGGGGCACCGGATTGATGTCACCAAGGACACCACACATGAATCATTTTGGTGGTATGTACACACAGAATATACACTGGTGGTACCACACACACTAGCTACTCTATTGTATAAACACTGGTGGTACCACACACACTAGCTACTCTATTGTATAAACACTGGTGGTACCACACACACTAGCTACTCTATTGTATAAACACTGGTGGTACCACACACACTAGCTACTCTATTGTATAAACACTGGTGGTACCACACACACTAGCTACTCTATTGTATAAACACTGGTGGTACCACACACACTAGCTACTCTATTGTATAAACACTGGTGGTACCACACACACTAGCTACTCTATTGTATAAACACTGGTGGTACCACACACACTAGCTACTCTATTGTATAAACACTGGTGGTACCACACACACTAGCTACTCTATTGTATAAACACTGGTGGTACCACACACACTAGCTACTCTATTGTATAAACACTGGTGGTACCACACACACTAGCTACTCTATTGTATAAACACTGGTGGTACCACACACACTAGCTACTCTATTGTATAAACACTGGTGGTACCACACACACTAGCTACTCTATTGTATAAACACTGGTGGTACCACACACACTAGCTACTCTATTGTATAAACACTGGTGGTACCACACACACTAGCTACTCTATTGTATAAACACTGGTGGTACCACACACACTAGCTACTCTATTGTATAAACACTGGTGGTACCACACACACTAGCTACTCTATTGTATAAACACTGGTGGTACCACACACACTAGCTACTCTATTGTATAAACACTGGTGGTACCACACACACTAGCTACTCTATTGTATAAACACTGGTGGTACCACACACACTAGCTACTCTATTGTATAAACACTGGTGGTACCACACACACCAGCTACTCTATTGTATAAACACTGGTGGTACCACACATACTAGCTACTCTATTGTATAAACACTGGTGGTACCACACACACTAGCTACTCTATTGTATAAACATTGGTGGTACCACACATACTAGCTACTCTAATGTATAAACACTGGTGGTACCACACACACTAGCTTCTCTATTGTATAAACACTGGTGGTGATTTAACATGGTAATACACTTTGATATATGTAGGTTTGCAGTAGGGGTTAAACACTTCCAAAGGTCAAGGTCACAAGGCTTATCATTCCGAATTTCATTTCAGGGACACCGAATTTTGTCAGAATAAGGGAAGATGGTCTCTAATCCTTGTCTGATATATCAGACTACCAGGAAAGGAGTGTCTAAATTGTATGTGACTGATCAGACTATGGGTAAAGGAGACTTTAAATTTTGTCTGATATATCAGTCTGTGGGGACCTCATCATTTTGTTTGATGTACCAGATTTTCTGATATACAAGACAGAGTGTGGGTTAAGGGGCCTTTAATTTTGTCTAACTAATCAGTTTAAGGCAGTGAAATATAGGGTTTAGTGGATAATAATAGAATGTTTTGATTCTTTACAGGTTTCTTAAGTTCTACTTTCCATGAGAGAAGATACCAACCAGCTTACAGTGATTTATTTGTAAATCTTTTAAGGAAAGAGAGCATGACTAGGGATATTATAGAACATCTTGCTTGATTGTATACTGATCATATGGAGAGGAAATGAAACATTGTGTTTCCCTTACCCACTCAAGTTTCCGCAGTCTTATTTCCCTTATTCTCTCCGCTATCTAGAAAAATGAGCAAAAGGGAACCACAACTTGGTTCCTAGTAGCCGACACAGTGGACAACGGTCTGTAAGCCGACACAGTGGACAACGGTCTGTAAGCCGGCTCATCTGTATTGTTGTGTTATTGTCCTGTTAAGGTATAGTTAGATATGTATTGCCCTTGTAGTAGGGAATCCCGATTATTTGTTGTGTTATTGTCCTGTTAAGGTATAATTAGATATATATATATATTGCCCTTGTAGTAGGGAATCCCGATTATTTGTTTCCATCTGTTTTATCATGTTTCATTTGCACTCTGCTGTTGTGAAACATTATTCCAGGGAAACAAAGAATTGAGTGTTTCCTCACAACAAGAGCAATAAATGTATATTGACATCATTAATACGTTTTGGTTTTAGAATTATTTATTTTCTGTGACATTCTATGATTTTTAGTCCCACTACTGAGATAAAGTGAGGAGATAAATACTGTGTTATTTATCCAGTGAAGCTGTCACCTTTCATTGTAGGTTTGTGGTTTTAAAACAAGTGAATACTTGTAGTCCCAGTAGTCCAATACTTATACCTAGAATTATTTGTTTATTTTACAATGTAACATTCCATATAAAGCAGGCAGCAGCAATTCCTATAATGCGATCAGAGAGAGTGTGGAGTGATGTTATAATTCAGTGTTTTCTGTACATGACATAAATAGACACACCTTAATACACTTTTAACATTGGTACGTAAATCCTACTTAATATGATTGATGTCAAATGTGTTGTCGTGCCATTCATACAGATATTAATATTTGCATCAGAGACTTTATTAATCAATATAACAATTCTACAGTTAAATTAATTAACAGTGAAAGTGAGAAGGAATGCTGAGGCACCTGTCTGTACACATATATTTTTTCTGGACAAAATTGTCCCAGTTGTCCTATCGTTTCACAATTAAGGTAAATTGTACCATCTATTTCACACATATTGACTAAAATTGCCACAGTTAGCGTCCTTTTCAACACAAGATTAACCATAGAAATCACCTGAACCATAGTTGTTAAAAATTAAAAACTTATAAATTTGTAGAAAAAAAAGAACAAAAAACCGAGGGCTTAAACTCGGGCCCTTTACCTCTTCTTCGCAGTTTTACCTTAAGCTAATTAGTTGAAAATTAAGGTGGCTGGATTAGGGTGGAAATGTTCACATTTTCCGTGTGGAGGCATTCAAATTGTAGTCCAAGTAGTCCAAATGCGAAAATTTCCACATGTCAAAATATGGATTTTATGGTAATATCTAATAAAATATGTAGATTTCAGGACTGTTGCCAACACAAACAATTCCACATACCAACCTGTTTAAACGGTCACGAGGCGAACATTTTCACATACCAACCTGTTTAAACGGTCACGAGGCGAACATTTCCACATACCAACCTGTTTAAACGGTCATGAGGCGAACATTTCCACATACCAACCTGTTTAAACGGTCACGAGGCGAACATTTCCACACGCCAACATTTCCATTTTTACAGAATATAACATTACCTAGTGAAAGGAGGCACATGTCTACACTTAATGTCTAAGTATGTGGAACATCAATGGGGGGGATAGGGACATCGTTTTAATGTTGTGGCCGACCTAGTGTGATATTGAAACATGATATCATATCATTGGCATCACTAGACATCATGTCATCATTGAAAAGCTTAAGAGGACATGCATAATGTCATATTCAGTTCAAAGGTATCATATTTTTTTAAATATTGTTCTTTTTAGCTCACCTGGTCCAAAGGACCATGGTGAGCTTATGCCATACCGCAGCGTCTGACGTCCGTCGGCTGTCCGTCCGTCCGTCAACTTTTCCTTTAAAACGCTACTCGTCATGAACGACTGAGCAGATTTTAACCAAATTTGGTCAAAAGCATCCTTGGGGGAAGGGGAACAAATTTTGTATAAATGGTGGGTCTGCCCCCCCTGGGGGCGGAGGGGCGGGGCCCAATAGGGGAAACATAGCAAATTATTCTTTAAAATCCTTCTTCTTCTGTAGGAATGAAAGGAATTGTTCCATATTTGGTCAGAAGCATCCTTGGGTGAAGGGGAACCAATTTTGTATAAACTGTAGGTCTGGCCCCCTGGGGGCTGAGGGTCGGGGTCAAACAGGGGAAATATAACAAATTCTTTAAAATCCTTCTTCTTCCGTAGGAATGAAAGGATTTGTTCCATATTTGGTCTGAAGCATCCTTGAGTGAAGGGGAACCAATTTTGTATAAACGTTGGGTGTGGCCCCCCAGGGGCCTGAGGGGCGGGGCCCAATAGGGGAAACAGCAAATTATTCTTTAAAATTCTTCTTCTGTAGGAATGAAAGATTTTGGTTCATATTTGGTGTGGAGCATCCTTGGGTAAAGGAGAACCAATTTGTATAAACGGTGGGTGTGGCCCCCCAGGGGCCTGAGGGGCGTGGCCCAGTAGGGGAAATATAGGTAAAACCTTTATAATCCTTCTTCTACCATAGGGATTAAGGGATATTATCTTAATTTAGTCTGGAGCATCCTTTTGGCAGAAGGGACTCAATTTTGTATAAGCGGTGTGTTTGACCTCTCTGGAGGCAGAGAGGCTGGGTCCAATAGGGGAAATAGAGGTAAAACCTTTAAAATCCTTCTTCTACCATAGAGATTAAGGGATTTGATCCTTATTTAGTCTGGATCATCAATGGGCCAAGGGGACTCAATTTTGTATAAGCATGCAGTGGGTGTGGTCTCCCAAGGGGCAGAAGGGCGGGGCCCAATAGGAGAAATAGACGTAAAACCTTTAAAATCCTTCTTCGACCATCGGGATTAAGGGATTTTATCCTTATTTAGTCTGGAGCATCCTTGGGTCAAGGGGACTCAATTTTGTATAATTGGTGGGTATGACCCCCTAGGTTGCATATATGGGGCTCTGTTTGAAGTTTGTTCTCGCTATATCTCAAGTACTGGATGGATCTTTCTGAATTTTCATATGTACTTACAGCACCTACTTCATACCAATTATTTTAAACATATTCAGGTGAGCGATACAGGCCCTCTGGGCCTCTTGTTTACAAAAGCATTATGTTAATATACTGATAACATGTATATGAGTAGTGCCTTATAAAACTCACAGTTTATTTTGCCTTTGGACATAAACCTATAGCTGTCCATTTTCTTTAACCTTAAATAAAACATTTACTTCACTTCATTCCAATCAAGATGTTTGTTCAGGAATAAGCATTATATGCCAGCATTTATTTCTTAATCATTTTCAGAATATCAATTACAATCATTAAGAATTTTGTATGTCCTGTATGTATGGTTATTGGGTTACCTTGTAGCGGTTTAAGTCCAGTATGTATGGTTATTGGGTTACGTTGTAGCAGTAAAAGTCCTGTATGTATGGATATTGGGTTACTTTGTAGCAGTAAAAGTCCTGTGTGTATGGTTATTGGGTTACGTTGGAGCGGTTTAAGTCCAGTATGTATGGTTATTCGGTTACGTTGTAGCAGTAAAAATCCAGTATGTATGGTTATTGGGTTACGTTGTAGCGGTTTAAGTCCAGTATGTATGGTTATTGGGTTACGTTGTAGCAGTAAAAATCCAGTATGTATGGTTATTGGGTTACGTTGTAGCAGTAAAAGTCCAGTATGTATGGTTATTGGGTTACGTTGTAGCAGTAAAAGTCCTGTATGTATGGTTATTGGGTTACGTTGTAGCAGTAAAAGTCCTGTATGTATGGTTATTGGGTTACTTTGTAGCAGTAAAAGTCCTGTATGTATGATTAGTTCACCTTGTTGCAGTAACAGTCCTGTATGTATGATTAAATATGTATATATATAAGTGTTGCTTCGGTGCTCTAGAGTAGTTTTATTGTTGCATGTTAGTGTTAATTAGTAATTTTTGGTCATTTATATTTTTGAATATTTTTGCAAGCATTTCTTGAATTAAGGTTAGTGGTCACTGTATCAAGGTTATAGTCACTGTGTTTAATGACTTTTTTTGCTGATATTTCTTAGTACATATGTGTCACCTATTGTTGCATGAATGAATGATACACTTTTAGACCCATACACATGTGTTTACTTTTAATTCAAAGTTCACCTGTTGCACATTATTTGTTTCCACAGTAGCAAGGCTGAGTCAATCTAATTTCTTCACCTGTGAAACTGTGACCACTGTTTATAACTCTGTATACTGAGAACTGTTTGCTGTGGTTTAACTTGCACCTTTTCCCTCTCTGTATTGAGGCAAATTTAACATTACAGTGAACTTAAGTAAACAATTTCATCAAGACACAGCACTAACAGCGAATCTATATACCTAAAGCACGGGCACTAACAGAGCATCTATATACCTACGGGCACTAACAGCACATCTATATACCTACGGGCACTAACAGAGCATCTATATACCTAAAGCACAGGCACTAACAGAGCATCTATATACCTACGGGCACTAACAGCACATCTATATACCTAAAGCACAGGCACTAACAGAGCATCTATATACCTAAAGCACGGGCACAACAGAGCATCTATATACCTAAAGCACAGGCACTAACAGAGCATCTATATACCTAA